GGGGGGGGGGTCTGAAAATATTTGAAAAGCACGTGCACTCATTACCAGAAATAGTATAGCCTATCACCTTACGTGTTAAGACGAAACGATAGCAGAGAAAGATTGTTCTTAAAACTGAATCCTTAACAAACAAAATAAAATGGGTGTCGTTTACCAATCAGCGGCTAAGAGACTCCATTCTCAGCCCAGATGAAACATGACAGTACAAGAAACAAAAGAATGCATTTTAGTTATTTATTTGATTTAACATATTTTTTTAATATCCCAAAACTGTGCCACAAAACTTGGGCTACTCTTATAAATCACGATCTTTTAAAGACAGGGTTAGCAGGTGTTGAGGCAGGTCGATTTGCGAACATGTCCTTTAAATCGAGTATCAGCCAATCGGTAGCAGCTCGAACTCGAAGCAAAATTACAGGTCTCTGGTCGTTTTCAGAGTTTTCAGCTTGTGGGGAGCTGAGAAACACTGTCATTACAAGAACAATTTTGTGTGATCTTACGAAACCCGCTACCAAAACGGGTCTCTGTTTTATCGACATCGAAGCACGTGAAACTAAATTACAGCGTCTCCTTCATCGCCTGACGCCACATGCTTTTGAGCTTCGAGAGTTTTGCATCTTTATGCAGACAATATCGTCGATGTCTCAAGCTATCCACTAAAGTCCGTTTGATTATTTTTTACACCGGAAAATGAAATTTTCAGGGCTGGTTATTCATACCATCTGCTAACTTTATACAGGTGGAAAATAAAATCGATGAATTCATAAGTGAGTGACATGGATGATTAAGTAATCGAATTCAGAGGCTTGAAGGGGTAGGTCACTGATCCATCTCTAACTGTTTTCATATTCAAGATATCCAAAATCCCCACTATATAAAATTTTGTATTGAGAATATCTATCAATGTACCAAATTTGTTTTTTTTAAATCCTTGTTACCTTATGAAAGCTGTTTATTTTCAATATGGCGGCCGTTCCCACGGCAACCGTAGACTTAAACCAAAAAAAAAGTAAAGTTACGTTTTTCACATGTTTTCCTGTTATAGCTCCTTGCTATAAGGCTTTATCTAAAAAGGCCATAGTCACCGAGATAGGTTTATAACCCCCCCCCACACCCCCCCCTTAAGTGGATTGCTTGCCACAGCGACGATATTACTGGAATTATAATAACTTAGACTGCACCCTGCCATGGTTGCCGTTCTCTGCTCTTTAGAAAACATCACAGCAAAGTGTGCGCACCCTGGCACTCAAACGATGGGCAAAACACCACCCTCGATATAGTCGCGAGCGAGAGGCACATTTCCGCTGTGGACCTTCATTTGGCTCCGAATTAAGTCAATTGGTGCTCCATATTGGCCCTGAATTACGTCAGAGTGCACAAACTAGGATATTATGATATAAGTCTATGACATCAACACAGACTGGCCTCATCCGGAAAACACGGGGGAAGAGAAAGTAGGAACATTAATCTGTGCGGCATCGCGATGAAATCAGGCGCTGGTTGGTAATTTTCATCGAATTTATTCTTTTTAGCTCAACATCTTTTATATAATTTCAGAACATATTTCTGTATAGATTAGTTTTTATAAAAACCTAGGATGAAAGCCGCTCATGATGTAAAAGTACGATTTCCATGAACACTTAAGACTCAGGCTTTGTGGGAGTCAAGTGCCATACTTTAGCGGCCATTGTCTCGTCAATTTAAACCTTGACACAGAACAGCCCCCACCTCCTTCAATCCCTAAAACCTCGACTTCTGTTCAAGATAAATGGCCGGTTTTTTTCCATTAAAAGCAAGATACTGAAACAAGCTTTACAGTGATAACTAAAACATTATAATATGCCCCTAAAATTGACGGGCGCTTGATTCCACCACTTTGTGATTGATGTTCTATCGTGAAAATGCTGAATCATTTCCGGGAGGGGGGAGGGGGGACAACACCCCC